GCTTCCATGTCTGACATACTGGAGAGCACCTGCCTGGAGGCTGTTGCTACCTACCAAGATTAATGTCGGCTGAAAAATGACAGCCTCTGCTTGCTTGTCCATTCCAGGGGATCATCGCTCCTTTTTCCCAGTTTCTGGCCAGGATTTGTAGTTGATGAGGTGATCAGTGAGGCTGTTGGTGGTAGCAGCATGCAGTTTAGCCTGGGCACCACTGGCAGACTGATCAGTGAGGCTGTTGGTGGTAGCAGCATGCAGTTCAGTCTGGGTATCACTGGCAGACTGATCAGTGAGGCTGTTGGTGGTAGCATGCAGTTCAGTCTGGGCATCACTGGCTTACTGATCAGTGAGGCTGTTGGTGGTAGCAGCATGCAGTTCAGTCTGGGCATCACTGGCAGACTGATCAGTGAGGCTGTTGGTGGTAGCAGCATGCAGTTCAGTCTGGGCATCACTGCCATACTGATCAGTGAGGCTGTTGGTGGTAACAGCATGCAGTTCAGTCTGGGCATCACTGGCAGAATGATCAGTGAGGCTGTTGGTGGTAGCAGCATGCAGCTCAGTCTGGGCATCACTGGCAGACTGATCAGTGAGGCTGTTGGTGGTAGCAGCATGCAGTTCAGTCTGGGCATCACTGGCAGACTGATCAGTGAGGCTGTTGGTGGTAGCAGCATGCAGTTCAGTCTGGGCATCACTGGCAGACTGATCAGTGAGGCTGTTGGTGGTAACAGTATGCAGTTCAGTCTGGGCATCACTGGCAGACTGATCAGTGAGGCTGTTGGTGGTAGCAGCATGCAGTTCAGTCTGTGCATCACTGGCAGACTGATCAGTGAGGCTGTTGGTGGTAGCAGCATGCAGTTCAGTCTGGGCATCACTGGCAAACTGATCAGTGAGGCTGTTGGTGGTAGCAGCATGCAGTTCAGTCTGGGCATCACTGGCAGACTGGTCTAATAATTCTTCCACAAGATGCTTCACTCGCCACCTCAGCTCACTCTCACTTTATGCATTTAAATGAGACCAATTTGCACGACCCTGGACCCTGAGTCTCTGGATTTACTTGAGCTCAGCTCACCCTTCCTTCCTTCCTTCCTTCCTCTCTCCTGCATTTTTTTCCTTCTTCCTGCCTTTTTTTCTCCTTTACTCACTCCCTCCTTCCTTTTCTTCTTCACTCCCTTCCTACCTATCTGTGTCTAGCATTAGGAATAATATTAGGAGAGAAGTAAATAATGAAAATGATTGTTATAGGAATGAAGTTAGAAGTCTGAGTAGATCTATAACCCACTATGATAACATGAACGTAGATAAGTATGTTTATGTAGCAACTTGCAATGTGAACACTGACTGATGTTGTAGTGGCCAGACTTAGGCTTGGTTACAAGTACTGACTGATGTTGTAGTGGCCAGGCTTAGGCTTGGTTACAAGTACTGACTGATGTTGTAGTGGCCAGACTTAGGCTTGGTTACAAGTACTGACTGATGTTGTAGTGGCCAGACTTAGGCTTGGTTACAAGTACTGACTGATGTTGTAGTGGCCAGGCTTAGGCTTGGTTACAAGTACTGACTGATGTTGTAGTGGCCAGGCTTAGGCTTTGGTTACAAGTACTGACTGATGTTGTAGTGGCCAGGCTTAGGCTTGGTTACAAGTACTGACTGATGTTGTAGTGGCCAGACTTAGGCTTGGTTACAAGTACTGACTGATGTTGTAGTGGCCAGGCTTAGGCTTGGTTACAAGTACTGACTGATGTTGTAGTGGCCAGGCTTAGGCTTGGTTACAAGTACTGACTGATGTTGTAGTGGCCAGGTTAGGCTTGGTTACAAGTACTGACTGATGTTGTAGTGGCCAGGCTTAGGCTTGGTTACAAGTACTGACTGATGTTGTAGTGGCCAGACTTAGGCTTGGTTACAAGTAACTGACTGATGTTGTAGTGGCCAGACTTAGGCTTGGTTACAAGTACTGACTGATGTTGTAGTGGCCAGACTTAGGCTTGGTTACAAGTACTGACTGATGTTGTAGTGGCCAGGCTTAGGCTTGGTTACAAATACTGACTGATGTTGTAGTGGCCAGGCTTAGGCTTGGTTACAAGTACTGACTGATGTTGTAGTGGCCAGACTTAGGCTTGGTTACAAGTACTGACTGATGTTGTAGTGGCCAGGCTTAGGCTTGGTTACAAGTACTGACTGATGTTGTAGTGGCCAGGCTTAGGCTTGGTTACAAGTACTGACTGATGTTGTAGTGGCCAGGCTTAGGCTTGGTTACAAGTACTGACTGATGTTGTAGTGGCCAGGCTTAGGCTTGGTTACAAGTACTGACTGATGTTGTAGTGGCCAGACTTAGGCTTGGTTACAAGTACTGACTGATGTTGTAGTGGCCAGGCTTAGGCTTGGTTACAAGATACTGACTGATGTTGTAGTGGCCAGACTTAGGCTTGGTTACAAGTACTGACTGATGTTGTAGTGGCCAGGCTTAGGCTTGGTTACAAGTACTGACTGATGTTGGTAGTGGCCAGGCTTAGGCTTGGTTACAAGTACTGACTGATGTTGTAGTGGCCAGGCTTAGGCTTGGTTACAAGTACTGACTGATGTTGTAGTGGCCAGGCTTAGGCTTGGTTACAAGTACTGACTGATGTTGTAGTGGCCAGGCTTAGGCTTGGTTACAAGTACTGACTGATGTTGTAGTGGCCAGACTTAGGCTTGGTTACAAGTACTGACTGATGTTGTAGTGGCCAGACTTAGGCTTGGTTACAAGTACTGACTGATGTTGTAGTGGCCAGACTTAGGCTTGGTTACAAGTACTGACTGATGTTGTTAGTGGCCAGGCTTAGGCTTGGTTACAAGTACTGACTGATGTTGTAGTGGCCAGGCTTAGGCTTGGTTACAAGTACTGACTGATGTTGTAGTGGCCAGACTTAGGCTTGGTTACAAGTACTGACTGATGTTGTAGTGGCCAGGCTTAGGCTTGGTTACAAGTACTGACTGATGTTGTAGTGGCCAGGCTTAGGCTTGGTTACAAGTACTGACTGATGTTGTAGTGGCCAGGCTTAGGCTTGGTTACAAGTACTGACTGATGTTGTAGTGGCCAGGCTTAGGCTTGGTTACAAGTACTGACTGATGTTGTAGTGGCCAGACTAGGCTTGGTTACAAGTACTGACTGATGTTGTAGTGGCCAGGCTTAGGCTTGGTTACAAGTACTGACTGATGTTGTAGTGGCCAGACTTAGGCTTGGTTACAAGTACTGACTGATGTTGTAGTGGCCAGGCTTAGGCTTGGTTACAAGTACTGACTGATGTTGTAGTGGCCAGGCTTAGGCTTGGTTACAAGTACTTCTGGCAGTTTGGGAGAGACAGATGATGATCAAACTAAATGCAAATTATGATCCGGCATATGGTCACTGTCTTGAACACTGCTTGCTTCATTGTCCACTTATTGAGGAATATATAGTATAAAACCTATGTGGCATATCAAGATATCATATTAATGAAAATAAGATACCAGATATACTAAGCAAATTTCTTAAATTTACTACTGTATAGTCCTTGTGGCTTAGCGCTTCTTTTTGATAATAATAATAATAATAATAATAATAATCTTAAATTTACTTGTAACAGATAAGTGAACTGTAAATATATAGATATAAATCCAAATGTACACCTGTTAACTCTTTTAGGTCGTAGTTGCTAGGTGTTTTGTGTATCCCTCCGCAGGACGAATATGGGATGCACAATAAACTAGCCACTTAGGTGGCAAAATCTAATCTAAATCTATCCAATCTTTCTCACTCCCATCCTTTCCTTTCTTTCTACCTTATTTCCTTCCTCCCTCCCTGCCTTCTTCCCTTCGTACCTTCCTCACTCCCTTCTTTCCTTCCCTCCTATCCTTCCCATCTTCCTTCTTCACTCCCTTCCTCCCTGCCCTCTACCGTGAGATAACTGACTGATTTTGAGAGTTGTGTTGTTATATGGCAGACTGAGAGGGGGTGGGTGTGTGGTAGTAGTGGTGGATGTGAGTGGTAGTGGTAGTGCTGGTGGATGTGAGTGTGGTAGTAGTGGTGGATGTGTGGTAGTAGTAGTGGTGGGTGTGAGTGTGGTGGTAGTAGTAGTAGTAGTGGTGGGTGTGAGTGTGGTAGTAGTAGTGGGTATGGGGTGGGCGTGTTCAACATCCACCTCACGCAGCAACAATAACTTAGAGTGGAGGGGGAGGGGGTTCAGGAGGTGGTGGTGGTTGGGGCTCCGGCAGTAAGCACACATAATCCTCCAGACTCAGGCAGTCTTCCTCACCAACTTAGCTCATCTAACTTTGACTCACTTATTGGCCTTTATGACCCACTGGTGAGGCTCTCCCGAGCCACAAACATATCACCAGATCCTCATCAAGACTCACACGTGCTCATACTCACACTCTAACAAGTCTACTCCTACAAGTCTACTCACCTTAACTATTATTAGCTTGAAGGTAAAATCCCTAATAAACCAGTGAAAACAAGGATTGTGTTGTATTTCACGTAGCGCTGAAATTACGCGGGTTTCTACGCAGTGAATGCTGTAGCCTCGGTCATCTATTCGCTAATTTCGGCCCGGTCTCTGACCAGTCACCAGGTACAATGACGCCGGTAACAGCTCTTCATCCAAAGGATTGGAGTTAATCTTCTGATTTACTTATCTTCTGGTTTACTTTAGTTGTAGCTATATTGGTGTTTTACCAGCATGTTAGGCGTGAACCATTAGGACGTGTTTCCTTAAGACACCTACTACCCCTGTTCACCTAGCAGTAAGTACCTTGGTGTTAGCCGACTGGTATGGGGACAAAATTAACCTTATTTGCCCGAAATACTCTTCATGACCAGGGGCTTTCTGTATAGAATGTTATTAATGCTAGCTATGGTCTGTTTAAGTTGTATCATGTACTTGTAGAAATAAAGATGTTGATCCCTGGAACCATTAACATACAGGCGAAATATATGTTCAAGAATCAGTTATCATTAATAATAATTTGACTTTTCTCTGTTGCAGAATGACGAGGACTTAACATTTGACGATGATGGTGTGGTACGCTCCAGATCCAGAAGTGAGGTGGCCCCGGTGGCTGCTCCCCTCCAGTACACCTCGACCTCCTCCAATAGTAGGACACGCAGACAGTTCCCCAGTGTTTATGCCTCTGATGACGAGGATGCCGAAGGATCAGCCATTGAAGGCTCTGGTCTGGAACCACGTAAGTTATATTTATAACTTTCAATTGTGTGAAAATACCACGTCATGAAAATGATTGCGGAAAATTGCATTTATCTGAATGTAACTATGTACATAACAGTAAATGATAACAAAGATAATTATTATTTATCAATGTTACATAGACAAGTAGGAATTTGGGACACCTAGGTCGCAAAAAATGTCCCCCTTCGATACCTACCAATGTCATAACCACAAGTTGCTCTGGACCTATTAATTGAATGAAATATACATACGCCAGGAATACTGGTAAATATATAAATTTGTGGACTGTATATTAAAAATAATAAATGGTTATATATATATACACAATTACATAACAGAAGGAAAACATCTTAATATCACTCACCAATTTGACTGGAGATTAATGTGTATCATACTCAGAAAACCTCACTCTAACTAAATCTATGAAAATAATGCTGGCCAGAATTACACACAAATCTAGAGAGCTTATCTGAGGTTCCTGGAGCTGTCTTGTCCAGTCGTCTGATATCTCAAGTTATGCAGGAATGCACATCCACCAATTTCGCCTCCTATTTGAGAGGTGTCAACGCAATTTTAACCTCTAGAGCACGAAAAATTCTTCCCATTACACCAACGTTCGTACAAAATTCAAAACCAAGATGGCGAGTCTCTTCTTTTTTTCGATAACATACTACTTTTAAAAATACAATATAGGGCATCTATTTACCTATAAATTACCGTATTTCCGGAAAATATATACAGTATTTTCCACAATGATAGTGGATTATGAGATCTTGAAAAAACAAAAAGCTACGCCAGTGACTGAACTCTCAAAAACATTTATATTATCTCGGTTACATATGACTTTGTCCTAATCTCCCTTCAAAGCAGAAGATATATTAGAGCTGCAAAATATAAATAGTTCAGTTACTGTTAGAATAACCTTAATTTAAACATTTTGAATATACTTCTAGAGCCAAGATAGAGAGATCTAATATTCTAACAAAAAAAGTCCTGGAAGACTAGGCATCTAATTTGCTCACTAAAATAACGTAAGGGAGGAAGGGAAGGAGGGAAACTGCTGTAGGAAATGTAAATTAAGCCTAATGAGAAGCAAAGTCGGCTATTAGTCCAGTTATCGAGCATTGCCAACATCCATGGTCCATGCCCCTTCAGTATTCTACTAGCAGACGTAAGAAATATTGCCGAAACATAGAACATTCTTATGGTTTTGTGGACCTGCGGGCTACAGGTAGCAGTGGCATAGCTGATCGATGGCTACTCGAAATCTGACTACAGACCTGGCTGAGGGTGTAAATAAATAGCATGTTAAAATGTTCTTAACCAAGACAGGATTCACAGCATTGGATTTAAGTTGGAGGAATTTAGAATTAGAAAGGGTATTGGAAACTACTGGTTTGGCAGTCGAGTTGTACAAGAGCGGAATAAACTCCCAGGTAGCGTTGCTGAGGCAAGAACTTTGGGTTACTGTAAATGTAGGTGCCTTCATCTGCACCTCATTTGACTCCAGTATGTAAGCGCCAATCTTCCTGTCTGTGCTGCACCGGAAGAAGAAGCAGACAAGACACAGCAAGAGGATTCCCTGATCTTCCCAAAGTGCTCGAACTGAGGCCCAAAGCTGGGCTGTGGCTCTAAAAGGACCCTGTAGTGCATGCTGCCTTTGCACCTCTTGACATGTCTTCTGCTCCACCGAAGCTGCCACGCCCTTCGATTCCCGTGGGGACGGGATAATTGGCAGCACAGCTGTGAGTTTGGAAATACACCAGCATACACCACTGAACTTAGATGCCACTGCAAGCGATGGGGGAATGGTCAAGGCGACTGCATGACCCACTCCTACCACGAGCTCCAGAGTCCAGAGAGTTACACTGTAAAGCAAGGGCAAGTTAAGATTGAGCACGTCAGTGCAGCTGTGACCAGGGACCCCTGCTACAACCCTGCCTGCAGTTTATATGCTGCACCACTGACTGGTCATCTTATAATCAAGACCTGTGCCAGGCCGTGTATTGGCGAACATTAAGCAAACAAGTAAGCAGGCTGTCTGTGGTTCAGATTTTTCAAGACTGCGATGCTGATCACCTACTCCAAGGTTGGGGGACTAATTACCTCGTTTTTTACTGTCTTCTGTATATAATTATACAGTGTTCAGATTATGTCCATGTACTGTATTGATAAAGCCACTGGATGGTGAAACGTCTACAAATAGATACTCATATGTTGCACATGTATCTATTTCTTCAGTTCTACACAAGGCGTCGCTTGTCAGAGGCTTTTGCAAAATCTGTGTATACATCTGCATTCTGTTTGTCTTCCAGTGTATCCAATACCATGTCATAGTGGCCCAGTAATTGCGAGAGGCAGGATCGACCTGCTCTGAACCTGTTGCCCAGGACTGTGCAGTTGTTGGGAATCCAAGTGATTTGCAAACATGCTTCTTAGAATTCTTTCAAGGATATTTATGATGTGGGACGTTAGAGCTGTTGGTCTGTAGTTCTTGGCTATTGCTTGTTGCCATCTTTATGGAGGGGGGCTATATCCGTTGTTTTTAGTGATTCTGGGATTTCACCCATGTCTATGCTCCCTCTCCACATACTTAAGGCACATGAAAGGGGTTTCTTGCAGTTCTTAATGAACACGGAGCTCCACCAGTCTGGGCCTGGGGCTGAGTGCATAGGCATCTTGTCAGTGGCTTTTTCAAAATTCAGTGGAGTTAGGGTTATGTCAGATATTTGGCATACATTGATAGGGTTTTAAGGCTCATTCATGAAAAAGATCATTTGGATTGTCGATCTTTAGACTGATTAATGGCTTACTAAAGACAGAGTCGTACTGAACTTCAGTCTCTCACTCATTTCTTTGTCATCTGAGCAAGGGCCCGTTACTATGCGGTTTATGCCTTGTTTTTGACATATGAAAACAAATATTTTGAATTTCTTTCGATTTGACTATTTACCTTTAGCTCCTCCTGTCTCTCCCCTCAGGGAACGTTCCTTGACGCTGGTGAGGAGGGGCTCTTGATCTAGGGAATTGGATCTGTGCTCCAGTTCCCCTGAATTGAGTCTGAATGCCTTCCATCCTCCCCCCCCCATAGGTGCTATATAATCCCTACGGGTTTAGCGCTCCTCCATGATTATAATAATTCTAATCCTCCTGTCTCTCCTGGATCCTGTAATCAGTCCATCACCCTTGAAGATGCAGTTTTGAGGTGGTCAGTCCCTCCGCCTGGAGAAGAATATCGCTCCATAGTTTGGAACAATGTTCCATATTTAGTTGGACATTTGCAACTCTATTCTCAGACATCATACGGAAGGTCTTGTCAGTACCGTCGTTAATCGACTTTACAATTCTTCAACGTACTGTATATCCAGATACATTTTAGGAAGAAAAATAAGGGAAAATGAAAATGTAAACATTAAAATAGTTATTACTGAAGGATGTTCCTCCGGGGGTATCACATTATTTTTATATTTCACGGTGCGTATACCACGGAAGTGGTAAATTGTTTTACTATATTTAGGGGAAAGTATAGATATTTAGCCAGGAGCGGCACGTCACAGCCAATCAACGCTTGATATCGAGTCCTGGCTGATCACGGCGTACGCAAACACTGACAGGCCAGAGAAACATTAAGTGAAGTTAACTTACTTTAGGTGGATTTAGTAAGTTTATTTAGGCACAGGTACACATAAGTACAGTTACCATACCTTGTGTAAATTACGTAGGATAACCCATTCAAGGTCAAAGTGATGTATTTCGGTTGGGGTTTCTTGAAGTTTGGTTACATTTCTTGCTATTTGCAAAGCATAATACTATCTCTAATGTCAAAGTACAGTATAAACTGTATTTTATCGCCGCGATCAGCTAAAGAGCAACATGCAGTTATTACCAAAATATACAAAATTACTATACGATATAGTATTCCCTGAATGCTCCATTTTCTCGAGTGTGCACACATTGTATTATGGTAAACTGTATAAACTAATCTGAATATAAGATAAGATAAGATTTCGTTCGGATTTTTAACCCCGGAGGGTTAGCCACCCAGGATAACCCAAGAAAGTCAGTGCGTCATCGAGGACTGTCTAACTTATTTCCATTGGGGTCCTTAATCTTGTCCCCCCATGATGCGACCCACACCAGTCGACTAACACCCAGGTACCTATTTGCTGCTAGGTGAACAGGACAACAGGTGTAAGGAAACGTGTCGAAATGTTTCCACCCGCCGGGAATCGAACCCGGGCCCTCCGTGTGTGAAGCGGGAGCTTTAACCACCAGGCCACCGGGCCACCTTCGATACCAGCTGTTTGTGTATCGATATCAGTCTCCTTTGTGCGGATTGTGTGTCCCGTTGCTTGGTTGGCAACGCTCTCGCTCCATACAGTGTGTCCGTGGTTCAGTCCCCGGCATGGGTGGAAACTTTGGGCATGTTTCTTTACATCTGCTGTAACTGTTCACCTTGCAGTAAGTAGGTACCTGGGTGTTAGTCGACAGTTGTGTTGTGGGTGGCATCCTGGGGACAAGATTGAAGAACCACGATGGAAATAAGACAGACATCCTCGATGACGCACTGACTTTCTTGGGTTATCGTGAGTGACTAACCCTCTCTACCCCAGGTTAAAATCCCAACAAATCTTATCTTTATCAGTGTAATTAAGAAACTTTATGTTGAAGTTTCGTATATGTTACTTTTTTTTTACAATGATGTATACCTTTGAAGAGTTTCGAGAGTTAATCTACTCTCGGAGCCCGGCCATGGGCCAGGCTCGTCTGGTGCTTGCCTGGTCAACCAGGCTGTTGCTGCTGGAGGCCCGCTGCCCCAAATATCCATCACAGCCTGGTTGATCTGGCACCTGGTGAAGATACTTTTCCGGTTTTTTCTTGAAGGCTTCTACACTTGTTCCAGCCATGTTTCTGATATTTTCTGGTAAGATGTTGAATAGTCTGGGACCCCGGATGTTGATACATGTAGTGTTCCCTTATTGTCCCCACCGCACCCCT